GACCAACATGACATGCGAATTTTGGATATTACCAGAAAATTCAAAATTTCTTTTTTCTAAAACATGTTTTAAAATGCTGTAATTTGATGACAAACATGCAGAAAAGATACAATTTTCAAATTTTTTTATCAAAATCCTAAAACATGCTGCCAAGTGAATGTTTGTTTTTGACCAAAACTGATACGTAAAGTTCATTTTGACAGAAAGATTTATAAAAATAAATTTGGAAAAAAGTTTTCTACATGCCCTAAATTGATCAAGTGAATGTTTGTTTTTGACCAAAACTGATACGTAAAGTTCATTTTGACAGAAAGATTTATAAAAATAAATTTGGAAAAAAGTTTTCTAAATGCCCTAAATTGATTTTTTTTACCGTCTGACCAACATGACATGCGAATTTTGGATATTACCAGAAAATTCAAAATTTCTTTTTTCTAAAACATGTTTTAAAATGCTGTAATTTGATGACAAACATGCAGAAAAGATACAATTTTCAAATTTTTTTATCAAAATTTTTCATCATAATTTTTCAGCATCTGACCAACATGACATGCAAAATTAGGATTTTAATGAAACATTCCAAAGAATTTTTTTTCTAAAATAATTTCTCAAAATGCTTTAATTTGGTGAGAAACATGCAGAAAATATCACATTTTCAAATATTTTTATTAAAAGTTTTCATCACAATTTTTTACTATCTAACCAACATGACGTGAATTTAGAATTTAACCGAACAATTCCCCAAATTTGTTCTATCTAAAAGATTTCTCAAAATGCTCTAATTTGATGAGAAACATGCAGAAAAGATAACATTTTTTTATCAAACATTTTCATCATATTTTTTTACCGTCTGACCAACATGACATGCGAATTTTGGATTTTACAAAACAAAAATCTAAAAAAATGTTTTCTAAAAAATGTTCTCAAAATGCTCTAATTTGATGAGAAACATGCAGAAAAGAAAGATTTTCAAATATTTCTATCAAACATTTTCATCATAATTTTTTACCATCTGACAAACATGACATGCAAAATTAGGGTTTTACCAAAAAATTCCCCCCAAAAAAAATTTCTAAGAAATTTCTCAAAATGCTCTAATTTGATGGGAAACATGCAGAAAAGATAAAATTTTCAAAAAAACTTCATATTTTTTCACCATCTGACCAACATGACATGCAAAATTCGGATTTTACTAAAAATTCCGAAGAATTTTTTTTCAAAAAAATTACTCAAAATGCTGTAATTTGATGAAAAAAATGTAGAACAAATAAAATTTTGAATTACAGTAGTCCCTCGCTATTTCGCGGATTCACGACTTTGCAGGTTTTTGAAATTGTACATATAAAATATACTGTATCCCGGATTTGGATCTGCAAGAGATGTCACAGGAATTGAGACGACAATATGTCCAGTTCAATCGGTCCAATTTTTCAACAACATACTGTTTGACTGGAAAAAGAAGCAGCGGAAGCAACTGCCGATCACAATGTTTATGCAGCTTCGCAAAAAAGACCCAGTTCCTAACACTACTACGGATACACCTTCGGAAACCGTGAAAGAGGTGCCCCAAGAAATGGCGCCACCCTCTGAAGAGATGTAAAATCAATCATCTGCTGCGCAGTAAAAGTCATCATCACCTTCCTCATCATCATTTTACTGCACATAAATATGGTCACTACTTCTACCACGATAAATGAGGGACCACTGTTTCTCACTGCCTGAACAACATGAGATGCAAAATTAGAATTTTGCGAAAAAAAATTAAAACCTTTTCTTCAAATTTTTGAAAATACTCTTATTCAATGAGAAACATGCAGACAAGTCGAAATTTTGAAAAAAGAAAATCGAAAAATTTTCATCATAATTTTTACCATTTGACCAAAAATGCGTGCTAAATTAGGACGTCAAAAAAATTATCACCAAAGTGATAGGTAAAATACAGAGGTCACATTTTGTTGTATGTGCAGTGGTGTGCTGTGTGGTCTGACAGTGAATTCATGTGTGACAACTGGCTCCTTTACACAGGCTTTTAAGGTTGAGTGATCATCAAAAGGATTATAGATAAGAATTTCTGGAAATTAAGTGGAATGTCTCTGGTAAAAACAATATTGCAGTCACTTCCATTACGTCAGAAAGCATGTGAGAAACAGATAAAGATTCACGACAACACTTACAGAACAACACTGTTTGTTACAGTCGCTGCTTGATATCATGTGCTATTATCTGAAAAATGTGTAGACTACGTAGACCCATTTTAAGTAATTTTAAAACTTAAACATCAAGCTCTAAGGAATTGATATATGTTTAATAGTTATGTTATTATAATATAACAAATACATTTTAAATCAGGTCTATATTTATAAAAATACATTTTTTCATTCAAGATTAAATTAAATAATGCAATATTTTAAACAATAATAAACACGAGAAAATATGTAAGGGGATGTCAAAAACCTTAAAGAAAAATGAAATAAAAATCTGTATTTATTTGAAAAATAAAGTTATGTTTAGGCTCCAAATGTAACGTTTGTTCAAATATTAAAATGGTTTGTTTTTTAACCTGATGCAATAAAATGCAACACAGCTCAGAACTTGATAAACCCAAAAGCTTGATCCTTTCTTAAAACAATCCTATCCATTTCAGAACCGTTTGACTCGATAGATGTATTTATGTTTTAAAAAATGTGTAAATCTATAGGATGCAAGAGAGACTATGTATAATTAAATATTAATAATTAATTACAAATTACTTGCAGCAAAACTATTGTGTCATCCTTAAAAAAAAAAAAAAACTACCCTAAGGCTTTAGTGGAGTTGAACCTCAGTAAATAAAGATGGTATACATCATGTGAGTTAACAATGTTTTTTTTGTATTCTGTAGATATAGAGACTTATCATAGTGAAACACAGGATGGAGCCAGAGAGCCATGGAGAAATAATGACTGTTGTTTAACGGATATCTGCCACTGTGTAAGAGGCTCAATCACTGATGGTGAGGGAATGGAGGAACTTTCATGTGAGGAAACTATTTCTACAGACATTAATAAAATATTTATGTATATTAAGAATGTTCTTCAGGGAAATATGCCAGGGATATGCTACAAGGTAGTATATATATTAGTTCTCACATCAATTAAGATAAACTGGATAATATTCAACGGCACACCTGACGGTCTCTCACTGACATTATTGTGCCACACCACAGTGGTTGAGAATCACTACTCTAAACTGACCTTAACTGTAAGTGTGTGATTTTTTTTATTTTTATTTTGTGCTTTTGAGGCCTTTTTGTGGTTTAATGCGGGCATTGGCAAACTAAGGCCCAGGGACTGGATGCAGCCCATTCAGCTTTTTAATCCAGCCCGCCAAACTTTATTTCTGCAAACACAATTTGTGGTTCACTTGACCAAAATGCCTACCTAGTCTAAAATCTCCCATAAAGAAAAATATTTTTTATAATGTTAACAAAGTGATTCAATTAATTTAGCAAACAGTGATTGAATCACCAGCACCAACATGCAGAGCTCGCAGGAAGTACAGTATGTCTGTCATATTTATGGAGTGAGTCAAGAGAGGGTAAGTCGAGTGCAGTAACCGTAGGCAGTAGCAGGGGGCAGTGTTGTTGTTATTATTGTTGGCCTCTGTGTTGTGGCCTTAAAAGTTTCCACTTCCTCCAGTATGCTCCAACAAATAAGGCATGAAATAGTGTGGGATTGAGTATCTTTGTACTTCTACTGTCACCACTTCATATCTGCACCATGTCCAGTCCCTGACTGACGCTATATGCAGTGGACTGGGTGGTATGAGCAATTGTGAAATGAGCAGTCTGTATGGAGTTTTAATCCTATTTAGGAGTCCTATCCATTTCCAAATGAATATCTAGGTGCCACACATCCCGGTGCACTAGTTCGTACTTGTATAACCCACTTTTTTTAAGGCATACTTATCACATTATCCACTGGAAAATAAGATTAATGGGCCTAGTCATGCTGTGGAACACGCTGCAGGTCAAATATTTGGGAGATGGTACAGATAAACTCATTACACTACAAAGCCAATTCAAAGACAAGCAGCATGAAGAAGTGCATCGTAGATTAATCACCATTAAAGGTCAATGTGTGTTAAAATGGGTAAAGATGCTATCCTACCACACTTCATCAGTACTATGTGCACTGTATATGTGAAACCAATAATGCTCATTACATGCATTTAAATGGCTCGGTCCTAATTACTAATCAGTGTCTTGTACCATTAGAGATGGAAATTAAAAATACAGAACAGAGCCCTGGGCGTCATTCACTTATGTTATATTAGAGTTTTCTTAATTTAAGATTTAGCATTGACAACTCTTAATTCTAATTGAGTAGAATATGATTAAATTGCAAAGTGTATAACTATTGTCTGTAAAATTTAAATAAAAAAGTTACATGATACACTTTTGTTTAGCCGTCTTCTGTTAAGAAAAAAGAAACAAACTAACTAAACTGTACTGTTTATGTTGATATGTCCCAATCAGAATATTGGTTAGACCCTTGGGTGATTCTTTCTTCAGTGATTCCCACCCACCTCTCTGGCAGCTTACAGATTTACATTTGAGCATAATGCAAGCATTAGAGGAGGCACAAGGCAGCCCTGATAAGTTACAAAGTGCTCCAGGGGTAAACCTCGTAAGAGAGGGTTTGGAGTTATTTACAGCGTTCAAAATCCTTCAAAAATTCATGTCTGGAGGATTAGATTGGTTTTGCAGCCAATGCTTTGCACACAAAGCAAACACAATATACACACAGGCTGTTTAGCTGTAAATGACCAGATGACAATAATTCTAATTGACTGATCACATCCCATGCTCTGGACCAGTGTGTGCGGAACAAGTCAGGACACAGGGATCCTGTCAAGACA